ACCCACACATCCTGTCCAAAGCCACCACCCATCCTGCCATAGTCACCCACCCATCCTGCCCATAGTCACCCACCCCTCCTGCCCATAGCCACCCACCCATCCTGCCTGTAGCCACCCCCCACCCTGCCCTAGTCACCAACCATCCTGCCCATATATCGTGGGGTTCGAAAGGAGATAACGAGGGTTGAAGATATACACACTTGTTGGATGTAACACTATATATGGGCAGGGCTGTGGTAAGGGGGCCCAACCTGCCGTGTGTAGACCTATGGGGGGACTGAGGAAGTTACAGAGGTACTCGCACACACATGCGCATCACGTGACGTTTACACAAACAGTCACTAGGCCTAGTAAGGGGTCGTATATATAAAACATATGGATGGTACTATGATACTCAGATAGCTATACAACACATGTAAGGGGGATCAACAACTATTTCTGACGCTTGGTCATGTTACTATGTCATCTCGACATACACTACTATGCTATAGGCTGAACAGGCAGGTGGTTCTGGGCTGATTCTATACAATAACAAAGAATATGTAACTTAGAACTAATGGATGGTATCAAATGGATGCTAAAATGAGTTTTAAAAGTAAGGGTGTTAGTAATGAGTTTTAACGTAATGCATTAAAAATTTATCAGTACAAGTATATTATAATTAAAGGATGGAATTGATCAATCAATCTGTATTCATGCACTCTACAGATTCTGAGGAAGAATAAATATATATACAAGGTGAAAGTAATTAACAGCAAAGGCAAATCTGGTGCCACAGATCATTACTCTTAAATTCTCAGAATTCGGAGGAACGTGAAACACGAAAAAAATTTTTTTGAAAACTGATCAGCTGATAACAAAACACACAGTTGGGAACTTCATTCATCTTGGACATCTAATTATACAGACTATGTACATTTAAACCCAACTCTGCGAGGGTAAGATTTACATATGCAGAATGGTTATCATCTCTGGGAGGATCGAATTCTTTTGCGATGGCTAACACATGCCTTGACTGAGAACGATCTGGACGAGTATCTACAAAAGATACAGCTACATTCACTAGTGACTGTGAATTTCTAACGGTATACTCTTCTGCTAGGAGTACTCAACTCAGCTGTTCGATACAGTAATTTTTGACTCACTACAAAGTCACTAATGGGTGCTGGTGGCTTCACAGTCAGAATAAGATCTTCCTGGAGGGAGGAATCGAATCACACCAGACCACATGGGATCTGTTCTTTCTTAATGGAGGAATGAACAAACTCGGTGGAGTGGATGACTCTCCCGGTTGAAAAAATAACGCTATAACACTCAATGTGAGCAAGGGAGAATGGATCTACTATCTCTCACTGCAAGCACAGGGGAAAATAAATGGACATGGTCATCAATACAGATATTCAATCTGAGTCGCACACAGTGACACAAGATATCAACTATAAAGAAACTACACTTACAAACGTTAACAACATGTGAAAGTTACTCGAGAAACAACTTCTTACATTGCACGAATTACTGTCAACTAGGATGGGAACACCATCTGGAACACAAGGGACAACAACAACACTGAAGTGAGTACACTAGCCACAGAAACGTCTTTCTGCAATGGCTTGTGGCATCAGCAAGAGATGGCATAACTCGTTGCAAGTAAAGTACTTCTCAAAGCGTCCCCTGGGAAGGAACGAACATTTGAACAAGTCGCCATCGCAGGGATAGTAGTCTCAGCACCCAGAGTTGTCTGAGGTTCCTCTGAAACCCAAGGTAACTGTACACTATCTGTGTGCACGATATTGTGGCTGGAATCCAGACAGGAGTGACAGTATTACTAGTGCCTGACCGCTCAGCTACGTTAATAAGTAATGAATGGATCTATAGGAGCTTAATCTGAACTTCACATTTCGCAGCACTTTAACAAATCTCAGATACAAGCTGTGAGAACAAACACATTGCTCAGGGGCTAGGTATTGTCTTTCAGTCAGTAAGGGAATATTGGTACTGTGGACTGATTCATATTGACTTTGACTGGCATGATACACTATATAGCCGTCCTGCGCCACTTCTGGTTAGTGTGACTTTGTAAATGGTTCAAGTCGGACCGAAACGTCGTCGTAAGCTCCTCTCTTCCATGTGCGGGTTATTTGTGTATGATACACTAAGTGAACATTCAAAAGTGACTGGGACATCTTCTCAGGGAACTTACTCAAGGACAAAAGCCAAGAAAATAAAGAAAACATATGAACAGTAAGCTTAACGGGAAGAAATTATATATTTAAAAAAATAAAGTCACACTGTAAGCAAGGAGAACTCACACAAACATAAAAAATTATTCAACTGGATAAGCAACACTTTGAAAATCAAGAGAAATTGTACTTTACTCAAATCAAATTTGCTCAGATTTACTTTAAATTGAATTAATGGCACAGTGAGTTGTCTTTACTCTCAATGCATTAAGGAAATTCAACAATAAAATGATAAATCAATCAAAAATGTTAAAATGGACTCAATAAAGCTTGTGCAAAATTAAAACAAACTGGGAAAGCAATTCTAAATAAAAAATATTAAGTGACACACAAGGAACAAAATATTATGCACAGAAAATGTAAAACTGAAATCACAGAATATTGCACTGAAATAAACTGTAGCAATATTGTACTGAAATAAACTGTAGCAATATTGCAAATAACATCATAATCAAAGTACTGCACAACACTACATAAAATTTCTGCAAGAAAATTTTTAATGGCAACACAATGTTTACATAAGAATTATTGTAAAATGAGTCAATATTGCAATGATAAAAAAAAATTACACACACAAGGAAATACAGTTTACAAAAACAACAAAAAAAAATATTATCAAGGAATGAACTGATTGAACACTTTAACTGTTAACTGCAGCTTAAGCAACACTTACTGAACAAGCAAAAGAATGATTTAGTTTAAAAGAAGAACTTAAAAATTGCACTAAGAGTGAATTTGTTCAATGAAATAAAAAATAATAGATGCAAAAAACAGACAAAGCGGGGTTTGAACACTTCGTGATGCAGAAACAAAAAAATAAAAAAT